ACTAATCTTTCTTAGCCTCCAAGAAAGAGAATATATGGAGTAATTGTAGCTTAACAATATTGCTTTTACTTAAGCAACTCATTTAATGTTTTCTAAATGATCTAAGAGTTCAATTCTGATATCCAAAAGGTTGAATTTGAATTCCCTATAATTTTCATCCTATTTTCCTTTCTTTTCTCTAACTTTCTCTTCTAGTTCCCAGGAAGAAAGTTTCCCTCCAACACTCTCCGTCATTTTCCATCCTTCCCTCTTTTCTTTTTTTTCTAGGAACTAATTAGCTTAGGCGACAAGCAGTTTCATTAGCATATGTGGCCAAGTTTAACTCAAACTAATCTTGCTTAGCCTCCAAGAAAGAGATTTTATTTAGTAATTGTACCATAACGATATTAGTTTAAACTGAATCTGTCACGCCCCAAACCCGTCCCTAGAAGTTTGGGCATGACCACTTCAAAAACAGACACTTAACCTGTTATATATATATATATATATATATGGGGCCTGAACGGAAGCACTAAATATCAAAATTTGACAATGAAAACAAACTCCATCAAGCTACTACTATCATGCCAGGATCACATACTTTTAACAGAAAAATAAAATCTAAAACCTACACCTGAACATCGGTTATATAGATACATATATACAGACCCAGCCCTATCATTGGGTATATACAAAAACATGAAAGCTATATACATCAATCTTAGATAGACATTCAAAAAGCAAGCCAACATCTTATCGGTTTAACAAAATCAATGGTTGTGTATAGTGCCTGGACACACGAAGGTTGACAAAAGAAAGCGGCGTCATGGCTAGAACTGACCACCTGATTAGTGACCTACAGAAACAAACAAAACAGAGAGTGAGCCGGGCTCAGTGAATAGTAATACATAAATAAAACAATGCTTAACTTGAAACATAACACATAGCAATGCATATAAAGATGTAAAGTTCACATAGTTAGTCTGATTCTGTGCTAAGTACATAACGGCCTTAGGTTCAATCTTGCAACATAAACATGGTGGCTATAAGCCCTTGAAACATGGTGGCACAAGGCCCTTGAAGCATGTGGCATTAAAGCCCTTGAAACATGTGGCATAAAAGCCCTTGAAGCATCTGGCATGAAAGCCCTTGAAGCATATGGCATGAAAGCCCTTGAAACATGTGGCATGAAAGCCCTTGAAACATATGGCATAAAAGCCCTTGAACATAGTTTGGTGTTAAGCCCTTGAACATAGTTTGGCATTAAGCCCTTGAAACATGCATGTATGAACCCAAGAGGTGTCTCACACGGATTCTAGAGGTGACTCACATTGTAGCAGTTAGGTCCGTGTAGCACTTTGTTTCATTTCATAACAACTTATATAGATGGCCATAAGCCTCATAACTTTCATGGAATGGCTTTCAGCCTCATAATTTTCACATATGTATGGACTCAAGAGGTGGCTCATACAGATTCTAGAGGTAACTCGCACTGCAGCACTTAATTCCGTATAGTACTTTGCTCCATTCCAAAAATTAGTAGGTTTTCCAGCCCAAACCGTACATATCATGTCATATCATAAACGGAATCAAATCATACATATTTTTTTTATACTTAAATCATAAGTAGAAATCAAAAGTCATATTCGTAACATACTTGAATTTGTAACATACATGAACTTGTACCATGCGTAAACTTATAACATACTTGAACTTGTACCATACTTCAACTTAGAACATACGTAAACTTGTAACATACCTATACTAGTAACATGCTTAAATCTGTAACATACTTAAACTTGTAAGGTACATAAACTTGTAACTTAATTACTTAAACCACGGTATTATTACCCCCGAGTAAGGGTCGTGTGTTACCGATGTCATGAATACTTTACATTTACGGTCAACTATTCATTAAGTCAAAACGTAACATATCAGAACATAGAGCATGCTTAGCAAGGACAGAACAGTTTACATTCTAACGTGGGTTACATAATGATGTTAAACCTTTGTTTTCATATCATAGATTCTAAACGACCTCGAGTCCATACGTAACACAACAAAATAATCTTGGACTCATACAGGTATCATTATTAATGGATGAACATAAGCTCCATTTATTCTTAAGATGTACATAATACACTGCTAAATAACAGAGGTTTAATACTTGTTATTGACAGAACAAAAGGGTTCCAAAGTCATACCGACGTACGTAAATCTTTCCATATTCATAGAAATTCATATTGATTTCCACTTGTCATAAACGTTGATAAACACTTACAAAGAACAGAGTGTTAGTGACAATAATTATCAACGATAAATAAGATGTACATTTTTGTACTACTACTCACAGCGTTCAGGTGCTTGATCCGCCCCTGTAGCAGACCCTACACAATTCACGTAATTCAAACATAATTCATCATAGTACAACACCATTCAATTCACTATGAGTCAACACAACATAATCCAACAAAGTCAATATCACTTAGTTCATCAACACCATTTGTAATTTAACATAATTCAAAATAAATCCTTGAATTCCATTTCAACATTCCAAAACCGAGTTCATATCATCCATATCATTAATAGATTATTTCCTCAATTTTCCCTTCACATTACAGCATGAATTACAATGTTCATAACATAGTTCATTCGCAAATTTTAAACATAATTTTCATACATTTCCAAATTCCAATTAAACTTGAACACATATAATTCAATACCTCAATTTCATTACTCTACTTTCAATTTGGGCCAATTCATTGGTTATCATCATTAATCAACCTAGGGTTTCAAGAAAATATTGAAATTTCAAGAAAAATTCAAACTTATTAACCCATTACTTTTTATTCCAGTTTTCCCAATAATTATACATCTAGGATTCACCATCCATCATTTTAACCCACCAATTTAACTTCCAACATCTCCAATTCTAAACCCCCAATTCTCATAATAAACACTACACTAGATGTTCAAAAAAAAAATACGGGTTTTACATTTATATACTCCAAAGTATCACAAATCTATCTATCAATGAAAGCATGAAGGAGAACTAGGACCCTACCTCAAGAAACAAGCAAAGGGACGAAGCTTTAATGAGAATCCTTCGCAAATCCAAGTTCCAATCGGTTAAAAATGTTGATCCTTTCTTGTTCTCCATCCTTGATGCAAGAACCATGGTGGATTGTTGATCAAAGTAGAGGAAATCAAGGTTTTGGGGGCTAGGGTTTCGGACCTAGAAGGAGAGGAAGGAGGAAGGAGATGAAAAATGCCAAGAATGATCCAGAAATGCGATTTAAACTTGCCGAATTCGGGTCCCACACTCGAGCGTCGATTCCCACGCTCGAGCGTACCTGCTTTCAGCACAGATTCCAAAACTTTGAACAGGCGTAACTCTCTCATCCGGACTCCGTTTTAGGTCATTCTTGTGGTCAAATTGAAGCCCCGGAGATAAGCTTCCCAATGGTTCTAACCTCACATCGAAATTCAAAGTGTGAAAAAAGAAAAAGGAAAATGAATGACGGCTGATCGTAGATTAACTATCCGAATTATATTCGTTGGTCCACTCTTACTTTACCATCATACCACCACCTCAAACAATACCCCAAAATAAGGTAAGAACAATCCAAATACACTATTAAAAATGTCAAAAATGAGCCCACGCTCGAGCGGAGGGAAAAAAATTTTCAAGCCGATACAATAAAGGTCGCCATAACTCAGCAGATAATTCTTTAATTCCGATAGATATAGTTGAATTAAAATACATTAACCCCTAATTAAATAAGGATGACTTTTGGGGTCAGTAAAGAAGCATCTCATTTAAAGTTTTCTATCAGTTTTATTGGCTTAAGGGGCCTGGTTTCACTCAAACTAATCTTTCTTAGCCTCCAAGAAAGAGAATTTACGGAATAATCGTTGTTTAACGATTCTAGTTTAACCTAAGCAACCCATTTCATGTTTTCTAAATCACCTATGTGTTCAATTTTCAATTCCAAAAGGATGAATTTGAATTCCCTGTAAGTTTTATCCTATTTACCTTTCTTTTCTCTATCTCTTTGGGTTCTCAGGAGGATAGTTTCTCTCTGACTCTCTCCGTCCTTCTCTCTTTTTTTCTAGGAACTAATTAGCTTAGGCAACAAACAGTTTCATTAGCTTAAGTGGCCAAGTTTAACTCAAAATTTTTTTTTTTTGGGTGAATAAGAAATAAAATCAAAGAAAAGATTTACCAGAATACAAGGGGCATACCCCAGGCCGTACCTCAAAAAAAAAAGAGGCAAAAGCCTCGGCCAAAAAATAACCGAAACCCAGCCCACAACAACAAAAGCTAAAACAACACAAAACTAACAAAATAGATAGATCAGTCCTAAAACTTCATCACTGACTGATAGAAACTAAGGCGAACCAAGTCAGAGATTGTACAAAAACCATGTCCTGCAAAGGATTGGGGTCTGGTACAGCATGAGCACACAACAGCTAAAAACTATGTCCTGCATTTTGCACACAGCAACACAGATTGTACAAAAACCATGTCCTCCATTTTGCACACAGCAACACTTTATAGCTATTGGAAGAGTAGCATAACAGATTCAGCAGATCTCTTTTCCCCGAGGTCATATCCAGCAGCACCATTAAAATAAAGAGAAAATAAGACCAAACCAAGAACCTCCTACACAACTCGTAGGAGTAGGCGCCTTTACCATTAACTAGGAGAGTAAAACTATCAAAGATTTTTATATACAAACAAAAATTAAGACAACTGATAAACACACACATATAGCTTGACAAGGCGCTGGAAGCAGCCATCCCCAAGGTACATGTCCAAACAGTTTGATGCCTTCTAGAAGGGCGCAAAATGCAGCCACCGCCACTCCACCATACCATGATCAGATATACCTACCCAATATAGAGTAATAGATGAGTGTCGGGACTGTATAGAAAATCATAGAGAAGCAAAAAAGCATACACTCAATTTGGGACCTCCCATCACTCAACCCACATTTTAAGAAATCTTTCCACTCAATCTAGTGTCTCACTTCACTTGACCCACTACTCACATCCTCACACAGAACCCACAGAGAGAATGAGTACGTGATAGCTTCCTTAACCTGCATAAAAAAATATATAATATATAATAATGATTAGAACTTCATATATGTGCAATCTCACTTCCCTCAACCCACATTTGATATACAGAATATCTAGGCTCACATCACTCAACCCACCACAAGACGGATCCGAACTTGCTAATGGATAGGAAACCATCATTGAATGGAATTGATTAGTTCACATGCCAACCTGCAAAAGAACACCCAGATTAAATAAACACTCACTTTATGCTTACCCTCACTCAACCCTCAATATGGGTGATCTCACACCACTCAAACTCCTTCCAGCAACATACGGCTGAGATAGCTTCATGATCTTAGTGGAAGATTCCATTGCCTTAGAAACCAGCTATCACCTGCAGATTTTGTCACATTTTCCCTAGAAAGAACTCTGCCTCTAACCATTTGGATAATAGAGTTAGTAACAATCTCTTCAAGTTTGGATACCTTACGAAAGATTCTACTATTTCTCTCCTTCCAAATATGGTACGCAGTGCAAAGGGAGGGCAGTTTCATGATTACAGATTGCAAGGTTTCGCCTTTTAGTGTCTTGGTAGCATAATCAACAGTCTCCACCCAAGACAAATTAGGACAGCTAGTGTTACACTTAGTCTGGACAGCAGCCCAAATCCTAGAAGAATAAGCACACCTAAAAAAGAGATGGTTGTGGTTCTACTCAGGAGCTTGACAGAAATGGCAACTAGGATTAGGAACAAGACCAAACATTTGTAATCTATCACCAGTATTCAGCCTCTCATTAATGGCCAACCACACAACAAAACTAACCCTAGGAATTAATGGAGGTCCCCAGATCAGTTTAGACCAAGGAACCTTGGGACCCTTATGCCTCCAATAGTCCCAAGTAGAATGAATAGAGAACACACCATCAGCATTCAAGCTTTAGAAGGGAGTATCCAGAGAGTTGGAGGGATTGAGGGTAGGAGGAGTAGAGGAAATCCATTCATTTATTTCCCAAGTATTAGGGATCGGCCACTTCCAAGAGCCATTAGAAATAATGGAACTGACTTTGGAACTATCAGGAAAGTTAGTATCATACAAGATCCTCTGCCCATACCTATGCCAAAGAGAGCCAAGAGGGTGCCAGTTATCAAACCAAAGAAACACATTTTCCCCATTACCAATTTTGAATTTGATAAGAAGGAAAATTAAATTCCTAAGAGATAGAAGTTTCCTCCAAACCCAAGAAGGATCACTAGGCATTTTAGTACCCCAGAAACTCTTACCTTTGAGCAAGTAAGACTTAACTCATTGACACCACATAGAACACTCCCCACCGGAAAACAGAAACTAGACATGTTTGGCTATAGCAGCCTTGTTCCAAACCTCCATATCCTTAAAGCCAAGACCACCTTCATTCTTATGTTTACATATATTCTTCCAAGAAATCTTAGCACTATGCTTCTTCAACTCAGTCCCAGACCACAGAAAAGATCTAAGAAGACTTTCAATGTCACGAATAACCTTCTTTGGGAGAATAAAAAGCGAGGACCAATAGACTTGCATCGAAAAAAGAGTTGAGCTCTACCATCATAAGATAGAAGTTTATTAGTCCAACTTTTAATCCTATTAGTTATTCTATCAATCAGAATTTGGCAATCAGATGCCTTAAGCTTAGTTGTGATCAAAGGCACACCTAGATGCTTCGCAGGGAGTGAGCCCTCAGTAAAATTAGCAATATGAAGAATGGCTTCTTTAACCTCCATACTACAACCCGAGAAGTAAATGTTACTCTTGCTAGGACTAGGTGTGAGGCCCGACAAACTCCTAAACTCCTCCAAACCCTGCATAATGAGGATGATAGTATGAGGATCCCCTTTACTAAAGATCATCAGATCATCAGCAAAGCACAGATTGACGATTTTGGTTTTCTCACATCTCCAATGAAACTTGAACAAAGGGCTACTAGCCTTTTCAGCCAGAATTCTGGCTAAGATCTCCATAGCCAACACAAACAAGTAGGGGGACATAAGATCCGCCTACCTAAGCCCTCTAGCCCCTTTGAAGTACCTACAAAGCCTGCCATCAATAAAGATGGAGAAAGAATGACTAGTCACACAAGCCTTTATCCAAGTTATCATACAAGGAGGAAAAGCCATCGCAGTGAGAATATCAAGAATAAATTCCCACCTCACATTATCATAAGCTTTCATAATGTCAACTTTCATAGCATACTTCGGGGTTTTAGAATTCCTATGCCAGCCTCTCAAAATCTCTTGGGATAAAAAGATATTGTCAGAGATTCTTCTGCCTTGGACAAAGGCAGATTGCACTGGGTCTATAAGATCAGGGAGCACCATCTTAACTCTGTTAGCCATGATCTTAGCAATGCATTTACAAATGGTGTTACAACATGAGTGGGTCTGTAATCACCAACTTTCATGGGATTAGGAATTTTAGGAATAAGGGCTATGATGGTACTATTGATTTCCGTAAAAAGCTTACCAGAATCAAAAAACGATTTTATTGCTAGGGTAACCTCCTTACCAACAATATCCCACGAACTTTTGAAGAACCCAGCAGAGTAACCATCAGGACTAGGAGCTTTATTAGCCTTGAGAGACCAAAAAACCTCCTTGATTTAAGCATCAGAAACGGGCCTAACAAGATTGGCCGATTGGGATATAGAAACTTTAGTTTTCACCAAAGATTGTATCCTCTCAAGGCCATTATACTGATCCTTGAAGGGGGAGCCAAACAAGTTAGTAGAAAACTGAACAAAAGTGTTATGAATGTCAGCACTTTCAGTGGATCTAATACCATCCCCCAGATCAACACTTAAAATTTTCCCCCTATTGATATTGCTTTTCACAAACCTAAAGAAAAAACTACTATTTTTGTCCCAAAGACCTAACCATTGAACTCTGGATTTTTGAAGAGCAAGGCACTCTTACACTTCGCTAAGGTCAAGGTATTTTTTAAATTCCTTTCTCTCCTGAACTTGAAGCTCCAAATTCACAGGATCCCTATCCAACTTGAACTAGACAAGATCCAAACTACCCTTGGAAGGTTGGACACGAATTGAGATATCACTAAAATCCTTCTTGTTCAAAATTTTGAGACTAGACTTCAGCTGTCTTAGTTTCTAACACACCTTAAACATAGGGGCACCTCTGATATACTGATCCCAAGTGTTAGACACAGTACTGAGAAATTCAGGATGTTGGGACCAGAAATCAAAGCATTTGAAAGGTTTTTTAAAGGAACTCTTAGCGACACTGATATTGACCATAGCTGGAGAGTGGTCAGATATACCAGATGGGAGAAAAGATGCAGTTGACTCAGGAAATTTGTCAAGCCAGGACTCACTGACAAGAACTCTATCAATTTTAGTGGCTATATAGGCCCCATCAACCCTTTTATTAGCCCATGTGAATTGGCAGCTCCCATAAGATAAATCGGCCAACTCAGAAGCATTAACATAGGTGTTAAATTCCTCTTGGTCACTAGTCCACCCTGAAGATCCCCCAACTTTTTCCTGCGGATATCTGATAGCATTAAAGTCACCCAAAAAGATGCATGGAGATTTGGATTTAGTACGGGAGATGTGATACATAGTTTCAAAAATATTCTTCCTCAAAATGTGCTTATTTTCAGCGTAAACAAAAGTTGCAAAAAATTCCTCATTAGCAGCCAAATCATTGATTTTATAAAAAATATGCTGATTGGACATAGAAATCATTTGGACAGCACAAAATTCATTATTCCAGCACACCCAAACCCTACCAGGTTCAGTTGGTTGTAAATTAGATAAAATAGACCAATTGCCAAAACATTAAGCACATATTTTACTCTCATTAATCAGTTTTATTTTGGTCTCCAAAACACCAATGACATGAATATTTAAATTTAGTACCAAATTTTTAATTTCCTTATGTTTAGATGGATCATTCAATCCTCTAACATTCCATGCAGCAATTTTAACAGTCATTGGGAAACAAAAATAATAAGACAAACCCACAACCAACTAAAACTAGCAGTTACCTCTTCTTTTTCCTCTGGCTACTGCTTTCTTTGCCAGAGGATTTGATCTTTGTTGTCTGGGTAGCCTGATGAGGGGGCACAACCGGTTTGGATATCTCTTTTTTGGTGGTGGTATCACTAGTCACTGCCTCAAGAAACTCTACAGCCTGAAGAATTACCAGTTTTGTAATCTCCAGGACACTTTCTTGGAATCTATCCACTCCACTACTTTCGGAGCTCTGTTCTTCCACAGATGAGAAATTTTCAGCCAATGTCTCATGAATCTCCACAGGTTGGACTGTTGTTGGTATTGTCATTGTTTGGTTCGGGTACTTCCACAGCTTCTGGAATAACCTCTAGCTCAGGTTCCCCTACCTTCCTTTTCCCCTTTGCTTTAATGGTTGTCCATCATTCTTCATGATCGGAAACATTTTCCTCAGTTGTCTTTTGAAGAGAGACTAATTGGGCAACTTGCTTTGGCACACACTTATCAGTGTTATGTCCAAAAATTTGACAATGTTGGCATATAGATGGAAAACCCTGATATTCAACTCTAATTAGCACAGCTTCATCCTCACATCTTATTTGGAAGTAAGATGGAAATTTTGAAGTCGCCTCAATTTCAACACAAAACCTTGCAAATGCCACCCTACTGCCCCTAGCCGTGAGCTGGTCCATGAAAAGGGGGTTCCCTATTACACTAGCAACGCGACTTAGACCATCCGGATCCCAATACTCCAGCGGAATATTAAAGAATTTCACCCAGACTGGAATTTTTGTAGATTTTTCCTTGGCTAACTTCATCATTCTTTTCCATTGTTTCAGAATGAGAAGATACCCTCCTATGTACCACGGGCCTCCTTCAAGGACTTCTCTACAACTGTCAGGGGTATCAAAGATGAGGAACATGAAGCCATCTCCATTTGTAAGTACTTCCTTCTGACCTTTAGTTTTCCACACCCCAAAAGCACTATTCCGTAGATAATTATAACCTACTCCCTTATCAACAAAATATCCCACAAGACATGTACCCCATTTCTCCAAAGGGTCCGATCTAGTCGGCATCTTTACCACAATACTATCATCAACAACAGTTGGAGGAACATACCTTAGCTTGATATTGGATCGTGTGGACGCAGCCGTTACGTTGGCCCACGATCTCTGCTGATTAGGCCCTTGGCCTACGTCCTAACTGGATTTGCTCCCTCCAGCACCTCCACCACCTCCTCTCTCCCCACGATAGCTACCACCACCCCTACCTGGTCCTTCTTGAGGAAAGGGGCTAGGACCAATGAATGTCTCCTGAACTTCAGCATTGGTACCAAGAACTGGATCACTCTGATCGGATCGATTCTTGTTTTCCCCTCTATTTCGTGCTACCTCAAGGCTATCTGGAAGATTTAGAAAACTATTGTTCTCATCCTCCACGATTTCGGACCATCTAGGGTTAATAGCCTGTCCAATCGGGGTCGATGGTTCTTGACAACTACCAGCAACCTCCAATGGACCAGATACGGGAAGCATAGGGGCTTTCGGCTCCTCCAACCGTTGTACAGAACTCTAGATATTTTCATCACTAGGAACAAGAGACGACAATTTTTCCCTAATGTCAAATGCTATAACACTCTCATCCACAGTTCGGCTCTCGTTAACCCTAACTGAGATTTCTTGGTGTCGATCGCCTAAACTGGACGGCTGATCAATCTGTGGTTCCAAAAGTCGATCTACCTCTTGAACTACAACTTCACATTGAAGGACTTGTGGGATTTCAGAAGGCTCCATCAAATTCTCACTCAAGATTGCAAAGTTGTTGTTTACAAACCCTAATTTTTCAGTTGTCACTAACAAGCCTAATCTACCCTCGTCATTACCCGAAACCAACTTATTAACTCTGGACATTGTATTCAATGAGATGTTGAAACCCTAGAAACAGAAGTTTCTAGAGACATGCATGAGCTTCTCACACTAACCCATGACCTAGATTTGGTTATGCAAGTTTAACTCAAATTAATCTTGCTTATTTTTCAAAAAAGAGATTTTACTTATTAATTGTGCAATAACCATATTAGTTTAACTTAAGCATCTCATTTAAAGTTTTCTAATTGACCTAAGTGTTCAATTCTCAAGTCCAAGAGGATGAATTTGAATTCTCTTTCATTTTCATCCTAATTTCCGTTCCTTTTTCTAACTTTCTCTTCCACCACTCACGAAGAAAGCTTTTCTCTAACTCTCTCCATCCTTCTCCAACCTTCTCTCTTTTGTTCTAGGAACTACTTAGCATAGGCAACTATTAGTATCATTTGCTTAAGTTTCCATGTTTAGTCCAAACTAATCTCTCTTAGCCTCCAAGAAAGGGAATATATGGAGTAATGGTAGCTAAATGATATTACTTTTACTTAAGCCACTCATTTAATGTTTTCTAAATTACCTAAGTGCTCAATTCTCAAGTCCAAAAAGTTGAATTTGAATTCTCATTAATTTTCATCATATTTCCCTTTCTTTTGCCAAACTTTCTTTTCTACCACCAAGGAAAAAAGATTTTCTCTAACTCTCTCCGTCCTTGTAGAACCTTCTCTCCTTTATTGTAAGAACTAATTAGCTTAGGCAACTATTAGTTTCATTGGCTTAAGAGGGTAGGTTTCACTCAAACTAATCTTTCTTAGCCTCCAGGAAAGTGAATTTACAAAGTAATTACTGAGTTAATTATTCAGTAAATTCCAAGTAAATTCTCTGTAAATTATTAAGTATATTCCTAGTAAACTCTCAGTAAATTACTCAGTAACGTACTCAGTAAATCCTCAGTAAAGTACTTAGTAAACTCCTAGTAAATTCTCAGTAATTTTGTAAGTAAATTCCCAGTAAATTCCAAGTAAATTTTTCATAAATTCTCAGTAAATTACACAATAAATTCCAAGTAAATTCTCAGTAAACAATTTTGTAAATAATTCATTAAATTACTTAGTAAGTTTCTACTAAATTCTCAGTAAATTACTCAATAAATTTCAAAGTAAATTCTCAGTAAATTCGTAGTAAACTCTCAATAAATTACTCAGTAAATTCTCAGTATAATCCCTGCAAATTACTCTGTATATTACTCAATAAATTCTCAATACATTAACTAGTAAATTACTCATTAAATTCCCAGTAAATTCTCAGTAAATTATTGAGCAAATTACTTAGTAAATTCTCAGTACATTACGCAGTAAATTACTTTGTAGATTTCTAGTAAATTCTCAGAACATTACTCAATAAATTGCTCAGTAAATTCTCAGCAAATTACTCTGTAAATTCCCAGTAAATTACTGGTAAACTCTTAGTAAATTACTTAGTAAACTCTCAGTAAATTACTCTGTAAATTCCCAGTGCATTCTTAATAAATTACTCAGTAAATTCTCATTAAATTACTCAGTAAATTCTCTTTAAATTACCCAGTAAAATCTCTATAAATTCTTAGTAAATTACTCTGTAAATTCCCAGTAAATTGTTCAGTAAATTCTCAGTAAATTACTTAGTAAATTCTCAGTAAATTTTCAGTAAATTCCTCTGTAAATTCTCCGTAAATTACATAAATTCTCCATAAATTACTCCCTAAATTCTCAGTAAATTCCCAGTAAATCCTTAGTAAATTACTCAGTAAATTCTTAGTAAATTCCTAGTAAATTCATATTATATTACTCAACAAATTCTCATTAAATTACTTAGTAAATTCCCAATAAATTCTCTGTAAATTACTCTATAAATTCACAATAAATTTTCAGTAATTTACTAAGTAAATGGCTCAGTGAATTCTCAATACATTACTTAGTGAATTCCCTGTAAATTCTTAGTAAATTCTCAGTAAATTACTCAGTAAATTCCAAGTAAATTCTCCATAAAAGAAGTCAAAATAGTTGCAAAAAAAAAAGAGTAAAAAAAGTTGCAAAAAAAATAGAATAAATAAAAATTTAAAAATATATGATTTAAGTTTGACACTTTGGTGGTGTAACATAATCACATTGATGTTATTATTAATTGTATTTAATTTTATAATTACTTTTTGAAAAATAATATCTTTGATTCATTTCCTAAGCACTCATTTGGCATTTAAGTTTTTCGGACTATCAAGTTAAAACAATTCCAAAAAAAAAAAAAAAAAAGAGTAAAAAAAGTTGCAAAAAAATAGAATAAATAAAAATTAAAAAATGTATGATTTAAGTTTGACACTTGTGTGGTGTAACGTAATCGCATTGATGTTGTTATTAATTGTATTTAATTTTATAATTATTTTTTGAAAAATAATATCTTTGATTCATTTTCTAAGCACTCATTTGGCATTTAAATTTTTTGGACTACCAAGTTAAAACAGTTGCCAAAAAAAACACTAAAAAAAATTGCAAAAAAATAGAATAAATAAAAATTTAAAAATATATGATTTAAGTTTGACACTTGTGTGTAACGTAATCACATTGATGTTGTTATTAATTGTATTTAATTTTATAATTACTTTTTGAAAAATAATATCTTTGATTCATTTTCTAAGAACTCATTTGGCATTTAAGTTGTTGGGACTATCAAGTTAAAACAGTTGCCCAAAAAAAAAAAAAAACAAACAAAAAAACAAAAAGACTAAAAAAAGCTGCAAAAAAATAGAGTAAATAAAAATTTAAAAATATATGATTTAAGTTTGACACTTGTGTGGTGTAAAATGCCCAAGTAGGGTCAAAGGCTTGAATGCTATCTAGACAAGTCCTATATGGACGTATTTATACTTTTGTAAAAATGGGTATAAATCCTGTATGTGGAGGAGATACATAATCTCATCATTATTTTGTATGGGAACAACATGCTCAAATGTTTTGATTATCTTTCTACTGGTAAAGTCAAAAGTTCCTATCTTATAGATAGTATCTGGTTTGACTTTTGGGATAGTCCATTTATCTAGGGCTTCCCTAACATCCTGGTAGGCAACTAACTCTGCTGTTTTTGATGTAGAAGCTACTGTATTGGCTACTGTAGTGATAGGTTCCTTTGTAGGTGCAGTACTCATATGGATGTATTGGGACCATATATGTATAATTTAATTAAAATATAATTATAATACAAACAATAATAAACTTGGCTTTGATACCAGTATCCAATGCACCCTTCGAGATGGTAGATGTCTTGATTGAAAAGCATCTCTAATGGAAGCCATAGAAACCAGTCTATCCCATGGTCCAGTATATTTTAACCTATATCCAAACCTAAGCATATCACTTATTGATCCTAATCTATCAAAAGTTTTAGAGCTTAGGATTCTTTCTCATGGATATAAGTATCTTCCAGGAACACCACCTATTACAGTTATCTCTCGAATTCATTTAAAGGTTTTAACCACCTTGAATCCTTACGTCAAGAAGCAGAGTGAATTAGGGCATACAGTTCTAATTGATACTAATCTTTTCAGTAGCCAGGTTGTTGTTCCAAGAATGATAGCTTGGCAAAACATAACCTTTCTAGAAAAATAGCATATTCCTAATGTTGTTCCGGTTAGACCCATTGTCTGACAATCTATAAATGATGTTATACAGACGCAAGGAGGTAATGTATATCTCACCTTCAATAGGCCAAGCTGGCCATTATCCAGAAGCATGTCTAGTGCTAGTTTTAGAACTGTTTGATCTTATAGAGTAGATCTACCTGAGTCTTCAAGACAGTGAACTTCAGAACCTATAGAATCAGTGTTACAAGGAATGTCTTCCCGACCTCCTAGTGACAGTAATCCTGACAATACTACAGACCTCGTAGTGCAAGGAGTCCAATTTTCAAAAAAACCAAATACCACATGGTGTGTACGAATCCAGAAGGCCTTATAGCCTTACAGCCAGCGATATGAATTTTGAAGTCTAATGGATTTGTAGTGTGTCGTCCGGATTATGTTGGACATTTTGTTTTGGTTTGTTTAGAGGTCCCCTTTTCTTTTGGGTTGGATATGCATGGTTGCTGTCCGTTTTTCTTTGGATTTCTTGTATAGTTTTGGGTAGGGCCTGGGGCATGCCCCTTGTATTCTTGTGTTAGTTTCTTTTTTTTTTTATGACTTATTTACC